ATGTACCCTTGATATGATATGACATGATGAGAATGGTACTCAATAGAAATAGGCAGTGTAGCCTTCCTCCCCAGAACATACTTCCCATGTCTCATCATGAGAAAAACGTCAGACAAATTCCATTAGAGGGACATGCTATAATATATATGACCACGCTTCAAAACGGTCAAGGTCATCAGAAACAAAGTTGAGAAACTGTCACAGCCAAGAAGAGACTAAGGAGATATGACTAATTGCATATGGTATCCTGGATAGGATCTTGGCCATTAGGTAAAAACTAAAGAAATATGATTAAGTATGGAATTTAGTTAATAATAATATATCAACATCGGTTCATCAATTGTTGACAAATGTATCACACAAACATAAGATGTTAATCATAGGGAAAACTAGGTGTCAAGTAAATGGGAACTCTCGTACTACCTTCACAACTTTTCTGTAAATCTAAAACTAGGTTTAAAATAAAGTCTATTTGAAGCTATAACTGAATTTCAAAGGACATACTTTTAGACAATTTACAGAATATTGCCAACCCTTGATAATCTAGGAGAAATTGCTCTCAGACCGCAATGTTAGAGGGAGTTCTTCTCCTGAACAGCAGTTGGGTTCTTATGTGTTCACTCAGTTAATCTTGATTATGTTCTCACCTTTTCTTTGGCCACTAGGAAGCTTGGAAACAAATCAATTAGTAATTATGATGAACCATACAGTTTCTATGAAGCTCTTGGCTTTATCTTATTCTATTAATATTTCACTCCATTGTGACTTTTTAATATTTTTATCACTGCTTTTATCTTCTATTATCAGTCACCTCAAATCTCTTTAGAGGGAGGATTTATACATATGAATATGTTTTTGTTTGATTATACAAAATTTTATTACTCAAATTTCTGACTTCCCACTTCTCATGTTACCAAAATTCTGGACAGTTATCCACTAAAGGCTAGGATGTGGCAAATTACTACAACGTTGAGCTTTAGTTCTTGAATTGCAAAATGGTGATACCACCACCTGTTTTAACTGATGGTTGGGAGGACGAATGGGGTTCACATTTGTTAAAAAGTTAGCACAGATATAGAGAATGCAGTCAATAAATGATGACTATGATGATTATATAAATTATTATTTAAAAAAATAGCAATAATTATTTTCATCAATATAATGAAAAGAATGGAGCTGAATTACAAATTAATCATAGGCCAAAGTGGTGATTTTCTCAGTGACCTAGAAAAACAAGAGTAGCTGCCAGAGTTTAGAAGATAAGAACAATAAATAAAGCGAGGGGGGAGGGGAAAGCAGGAGAAGAGAGAAAAACAGATAAGAGGAGGAGGAGGAAGACTTCTTACACACCGTCACTGCCAAAAACAAGTCTGAAGGCTTAAGACAAGGTGAAATCTGATCACTTTTTCAGCCATGACTCCACTAGAATAATAAAAAGAAAAAAAGAAAGGGAAAAAAAACACCCTCTAGCCTTTTTGGCACCCATTTCCCCAAAGCCTCCCAAAACAATCACAATAAGAGCCAGATAAACACCAAATCTGAACCTCTCCTTGGCCCAGAGGATGCCAAGTTCATGTTCCACTGTCCAGAGTGTTTTTTGGCATTCGTACATTCAAACTCAGACCCTCATCTTCCTTATTCTAGAAGATGGAAAGACAATGGGGATTTTTCATTAAAAGAACTGTGAATTGTTTGAATACTATGTGCTACACGTTTTATCCACAGTACCTCTAACCCTGACAGGACTGCCAGATGAGGACCTGAATTTGGGCAGGGGGTGGGGGAGGGGGAGGGTGGTAATTTACTCCAGCTGCTCACAGACAGTACATAGCAGAGACATTGAACCCACGTCAGTCTGACTACAAGGATTTCCCTCTTTCCGCTAGGCCAGAAGTTTAATGCAAAGACTCCCTGCCAAAATCGATACAGTAAGGAAACTAAATAAAATAGCTAGGGCTTCCCTGGTGGTGCAGTGGTTAAGAATCCACCTGCTGATGCAGGGGACACAGGTTCAAGCCCTGGTCCGGAAAGACCCCACATGCTGCGAAGCAACTAAGCCCGTGTGCCACAACTACTGAGCCTGCGCTCTAGAGCCCGCGAGCCACAACTACTGAGCCTGAGTGCCACAACTACTGAAGCCTGCATGCCTAGAGCCCGTGCTCTACAACGAGAGAAGCCACGCAATGAGAAGCCCAAGCACCGCAACGAAGAGTAGCCCCCTCTCGCCACAACAAGAGAAAAGCCCGCGTGCAGCAACAAAGACCCAACACAGCCAAAAATAAATAAATAAATTTATAGAAAAATAAAATAGCTAATTCCTTCAAAAACTTTCTCAGCGCTGTGTTGGAAGTTCTTCTGTCACCTTACTCAGTCAGTCCATACAATAACCCCATGGAGTAAGTATTGTCATTACCCCAATTATATTTATAATTGAGAAAGCTCTGAGATTACTTGTTTCGCCTGATCATGCAAGTTGAAATAGAGAAGAAAGAATGAAGAGATTGAGGAAACAACAAAAAAGAAAGACAGATGTAAGAGAGAAGTGTGCCTGGGAGAGGGCAACAATCTTTACAAGAGGAACTTGGTGCCTGGTGCCCAAGGTCCACAGGCTCAGCTCTCCAGGAGAGCAAAGCTGGAAGGGAGGCCTCTGAAGGTGCTGGCGAGTATGGGCAAGGGGCGGGGAGGGGACTGCAAATACACTCCAAGGAAAGTAGAATGAGTCATGAGTGTCTCAGCCAATAAAAAATGGCAGGGATGACTGGACAGTCAATAAATCACTTCTGAGCACTAAACTTTCTGCTTCCTCAGGATTTCAGATTGTCACAGGTGGGCAATGGAAGCCCCCAAGCATGTTCTGATAGGCCAACGAGAAGCTGTCCACCTTTAAATTTACCAAATCCATCCGACCTTTCAAAATACGTCCAATCCTTCACAGGTATGGACCACCTTACATATTACTTTCATGTATACTCTGTTAGGCAATGTTGTCCCAACTTACCGGACCATATAACCACCTGGGGCACTTGTTAATCACACAAATTCCCAGGTATCCCATAGGGATTCTGATTCAGGAGGCTTGAAACTGGAAGCCCTGAGGATCTGGGCTTTGAATAAATGATTCGGCTGATTCCTATAATCAGGCTAGTTTGGTATCACAATCCCCATTTTATAGATAAGGAAAGTGAGATTCAAAGAAGGTAAGGCCACTCCCAAGGTCACCAACCTCTTGCATGGCAGAACTGAGGATAAGTCATGTTGTAACTCCACAGTGGATAAGCAAAGCAATGCATTTAAATCTATCTGAGCCAGAGCTAGCTTCAAAAAGCTGGCTTCTTGGTGTCTTAATATGGCATTAGACACTTGGAAATGGGGGTGTGGACTATCTAGCACTATCAGAAAAACAGGGAGGACATCAGTGAACTGGATTGATTAACATCCAAGGAAAAAGAGAAGGAAAATCAAGGTCCTCCTCCATCTGTAGTTCTGCTTTTGAGTTCTCAAGGCTTGTGGGGGCCAATGGATTGTTACCAATACCCACACTATTAGCACTGTTTTGACTCCTAGGTCCATTTGGCTAAAATAATCAAAACATTTCCTTCACTACTGCACAAAGATAGGGAAAAAAAACTAGAGAAAGGTCCTGCCAGAAATAACTCTAGACAACTAATATCATACGAAAAGAGGAATGTCCAGATGAGATCTTCACCCAAACAACCCCCTCCCCATTGATGATAACAATATAATGGTGACTAATTGCACCTTCTGGGTTAAAGTTCAGACCACTCCTCCAGAGCCCTCTCCCCAGAGAGGGATGAGTACCTGAGGTTTACTGAGGCCATTTTAATATGCACGTGAATCCCCTCCACCCTAGCATTTCGTTAGTGGGAGGGGAGAATAATCAACAAGATGAATGATGTGCTTGTGAAATACATCTTCTACTATCTCCTTTCTGGAAGCCCCTGCTGCCAAATGAACTATCACACTCTCATCAACTCTCTACAAGGAAAATCCAAATCATACAAAATGAGATAGACAGAAAGAGCACAGGGAAAATGGTACTCCCATTCCCAGCTTCTCATGAGTTTAAATAAAAGGGAAAATAGGGAGGATTTAGCGCTCTCTAAAAGAGATGACTTTAAGATATACCTAAATATATACATACTCATGCAGGTTTTTCGGTCCTCTGGGAAATGATCCCCTTTCTCATATGCAATTCTAAATCATTTCCAAGATAAGAAGACCCCTCCCTGCCCTACTGCCCCCTCCCCTTGTGCATCCCCTGAAATCTGAGGTCAAGATGACAACAGGTTTGCATGCTTTGAGAGTACATGTCCAATCTGTCCATATATATGCACATCTGTGCACACATCCATTGTAGCAGCCACAATCACACTCCATGAGTATTTTTAAAACTGTCTCTGATGTGTAGCACATAACTTATTTATAATATTTGTAATTTCTTGAGAAATACTGTTGACTTCAACATACATACTTCTACACTCTGGGATGATTCAGGTACGTTGATATAAAAAGCAAAATAGCTTCATTAACACACCCATCTAGTTAAAGTTAAAATCACCTTCCTTGAAAAACATAACTCTTGCCTTAATTTTAGGGGCCAAAAAATGTTTCTTTTATTCATCACGTAAAAAGCGCCTTTGGAAAAATAGTCACATTTCACAATGGACTATTCACGTCTCCTTTAAATGTGTCCAATTTTAATGAATGGTCTTCACCTTGGATACCCACATTCCAGGCCTCATAGGAACAATGGTGTTTGGGCATGTGCAGTGGAAGTGGAAGATGGATTCAAGATGTTTCAAGTATGCAAAATCGCATGCAGATGTACAAACAGTACATCCAGTCAAAGCGAGTTAAGAAAGCAATATATATATATATATATATATATATATATATATGTGTGTGTGTGTGTGTATATATATATACAGACACCCGAGAATGGATGAACACAAATAAAATCCAACTCATAATTAACATACCGTGCTGTGACACCTGTTGCCTTCCACGATAAGAAGTCTGGGAGATCAAAGAAATGTCCCGCCTTATCCCAGCAAGTCTCTCTCAAGTTCTGCCAAATTAAATACATATTAGAATCAATTATGGGCTATTTTTTCTCCCCCTCTCCTCTTTCAATAATGTTTCAAAATTTTCAAAACAAAAGCATAGCCAACAATGCCCAATAAAACATCTGCTCAGGGGCTGGGAATGGTGAGTGATATAAAAGCAGTACTATACAGGAAAGAAAAATTGGCAATCATTGATCCTTCCAAAAATGACTATAATTTCCCTTTTATTCCTCTTTGCCAACCTGGAGCAGGAGGAAGTACATTCTGCAAGGGTACGCAATCCATCTTCCCAGTGAAGGGCAAGAGGATACTCTTCAAGACACATAAAAAGATTTCAAAGCTGAACAGCTGTGAACTGGGGAGAAAAACCACACTACGAAATTACCCGATGAAATGCAATGTGTCCTGCCATGAAAAAGTCTCCCCAGGCTGACTGGTTCCAAATGCAACAGGAATGATAGTCCCTGTCCACAAAGAACTTCCAATCTAAGCCAGAGAGAATGGTACGGAATCAAGCTATTCTTATAACTTTTTAAAATATTTGTTCCTTCCAATTTCTTCCACACTGCCAATGTGGTCAGATATTTTTTTCCTGCCACTGGGTTTTTTCCTTCCTCTGCCACCTCTGTCCAGAACACTCCTTCCTCACCCACCACCCTGCTGCTCTGCCCACTTTGGTTAACCCAATCCATCCTTCCCTGGGGAGGTCTTTCAGGATCTCCTCCTCAGGTGAGGTCTGGCTGTCATATAACCCATATCACCCTGCAAGTAGTTGTATAATGTCCTTCTCTTCTGCTAGGCTGTAAGCTCAATGAGGTCAAGGACCTTGTCAGTTTTATGCACCATAATATCCCACAACTGTCTTTTCTCCTCCCCGGCACAGGACTGGACCCTTAGCTGTGAGGTAGAAATCACATGACTCCAGTCCCCCTGACACACTTAACTGGACTAGGGGTGGACATGTGACCTAACTGGGCCAATCAGATTCCTTCTCCCAGGAATTTAGAATCAGGATCCAAATGGAGTCATTTAACTTCTGCCTTTGAATGGAATTGGAGGTGAGATAAACTTGGAAACTGTGAAGTGGCCATTTTTTTGCCAAGGACCTGGAGAAGTAGGACTTCAAAAAGAGAAGAGCAATACAGACAGAAGCAGCAGCAAGAAAGGTTTCCTACCACCCAGGCAACTCTCCACGCCCTGGTTTCAATTATTCCCTCCCCAAGAGGCTACAACAAAAAGGAACGTATCCTAAGTACATGGGTATCTTTGGGAACCTAAAGGCAACAAGACAGAAGATCCAAAAGAGACATATTCTAGTATATGCTAGCAGGTGACACATAGCAGACGTTCGATAAATATGCATTCAACAACTAGACAAACTGCTCAGTTTCACCTTCCAATCTCTCTCAGGTGAGAGGCGCTTCAGAGTTTACAAAGGGTTTCCACATGTGTTACCTCCTTAGAACACCACAAAAGTCCTGAGTGCTGTTCTATCTATTTTATAGACATACAACTATTCTTTATCTATATTTGGCCTCAAATTCTATGAGTTCTTCCTATTTTCTCTTCCCCTATCACCACTCTCTGAACACAGACATCCACGCACAGCAGAGAAACTGAGTATTAACCCAGGAACAGGGTCCCATTAAAACAATAATAACATCAAAAGGGCTCAGATGTAAAAGGCAGTGTCAAGCCCATTTTCTGTTGTTGTTGTTGGTTGTTTATTTTAAATTCCTAAGCATTTGGGGGAGCGCTTACATCTAGAAAGGGCTAAACTTTCCTTTGAACACCCATACGTCTTAATGTTAAACAAAGCAACACTTAAAGTTGACTAAGTATGCCAAACGTAGCTCTGAACTAGCAGTATCTTTATATGCTAATAGATCAGTCAGAACATGGTAGCCTTTGAAACTATGAGTCAAGCTACTAGTATGTCTTCTGGGTAGTCCCCCAAATCTCTTTCCATGTGCTCTGTGGTTTCGGTGATCAGTTCTCAGGGAGAAAAGGCATCCTCCTTCTAAAGACTTCAGAAATCCAAGACCAATCAGAAATAAACCACGAAACCACTGCAGCAACGATCAGTGCTACCAGCCAAAGCCAAGCAGTCTTCCTGAACTCAGAAAATAACTGCTTCTGTTAGATCTTGTATACAGTCATTACAGACCTTGCAAAATGAGAGCTTTCAGCCTGTAGCCACGCAGACAGCCTCTGTGGACAACGGAACCCAGGCAGAATGTCTCAGAGACAGCATCAGGCCTCTGGCCAGAAAGAGACACATCGGGGGCAGGAGGGACAAAGCAGCCTGGCGGCGCCATCTTTTCTTGAGACAACGCCGGCTTCACTGGACAAAGCCAGAGACCCTGGCTCAAACTCTCCACAGAAGGAGTGACCAGAAATGGCATCATATAAGGAGTGCAAGGCACCCTTAAAAACGCACATGGTCCTGGGGGAGAAGACAGCAGTAGTATTCCCTGCCTTCTCCACAAGCAAAGTCTGCAGCTTAGCCAGCAAAGGAGATGGGGAAAGCGTTTGCCTGGATGAGAGGGATGTCTCCAGAAGCCTGATCCCTTACTTGGAGATGCTGACACCACCTATGAGGTTCCCATGGTGTACTTAGGTTGGGCTACATGATTCACAAATGCTTAGTCATCAAATGCCAGATTGGCCAAGGGCCTATTAGCCCCCGTGGATGGATTCTTAATCCAGTTCTATGAGAAAATCTCTCCATCCCTGCCTCTCCCCAACCAGCGGAGTCCCAGCCAAGGGCCTCAATCTTACTGAATTAATTCCATCCTTGGAACCACTGGGCCTGCATCAGGCACAGCGACTGTCCTCTTAGATTCTTCCACAGCTTACAACAGTGCCCCCACGTTCCTCATCTCATTGGATTCTCAGGATGGTTCAGAGGTTGTAGGTGATACACAACAGTCTGCACGTGAAGGATGCAGAAACTGAGGTTCAGATGACAAGGCCTTAACCCAAAGCCACATGGGGCTTCCCACTCTAAAGTGAGCGTTCCTTCCTTCCCAGGCCACAGTCACCACCCTGAGGCTCCCAGATCTAGCAGAGCTGTGGGTTTTGGCCTTTTGGAAGCATCATGATGGAAGCTATTACCATTCTTTACAGAAGAAAAGCCCTCCAAAACACATTTTTTCTAATGTTTTTTGTTTGTTTGTTTGTTTTTGCGGTACGTGGGCCTCTCACTGTCGCGGCCTCTCCCGTTGAGGAGCACAGGCTCCGGACGCGCAGGCTCAGCGGCCATGGCTCACGGGCCCAGCTGCTCCGCGGCATGTGGGATCTTCCCGGACCGGGGCACGAACCCATGTCCCCTGCATCGGCAGGCGGACTCTCAACCACTGCGCCACCAGGGAAGCCCTCTAATGTTTTATTAAACTTCAGAGATTTCACTTTCAATCCTGGGCAACTCACTTAACTTCTACATCCCTCATAACAACTTCCATGCACAAATGGTACACGGGCTAGAGCAAACACAGAGCAGGTCCCCAACACAAGCCAACTTTAGGCGCATCTCATAATGTGGGTGCTGAATCCAGTTCAAACTAGGAGCTCTCTGTGCTGAAGGAGTTAAGCCTCTCCTCCAGTTACCAAGCAACTAACAAAAAGTAGTCCTTTCAAGGAAAAAAAAAAAAAAAAGAAATCAGCAGTGATTGGGGTGTATGACTTGGCAATAAAGGCTTCTGCATTCCAATAACAATCCTTTGAGCTAAGCAATCCCTCAGGCTTGAAAGCCACCAAAGAGAACAAATCTCTTTTTTAATCATCTATTACTTCATAAAACCACACTCAAAGCACACACAGCTGCGGGTCTTGGCAGAGGGCGGAGGTGGAGTAGTGTATCTGAGGTTCAAGGCCAGGCAGCAGCCACCCCACCAGCCTGGGGCAGAGAGTTGGAGCTTTCTCCCTTTCCTTCTCACTGCCATGTCCAGGGAGGCAGTGAGGTCTCTGCTGGCTTCTAGATGCCAAGGGAACTTGAGGGTAAAATGAAGCAGACGCTGTAATGTATGTTGGGAGATGCGAGGGTCTAGGAGCAGCATGGGAAAGTAGGGATGACCAATTAAAAAAGGATCAACTAAGTATTTTGTCACGACTTGCAGTGGGATTCTATCTGGGCTCCCTGCTGTGTGCAGTGAATGAAAGGGAAGAACAGAGCTCCCTAATTCCCTCCCAGTAAATGGTCCTGCCAGAACATCCCAAATACTCACGATGTTGTTTTCCAGCACAACGTCCCCTAAAAAAGCAAAACCTTATCCTCACTCTATATTCACAACTGAGAATTAGGGCACAGGCTGATGGCCCAGAAAGGAGAGATGTTTCAGGAAGAAACTTAATCCTCAACTTCATTCTTTAAAAAAAAAAAAAAAAATGATGCTGAAAACATGGACTGGGTCATAATCTGCAAACAGAAACTTCCCAGAATGAATGAAATAACTGTGTTTCATACTCCCATCCACAGAGAAAAAGACCAAACACTGCAGATATTTTAAGTCAGACAGATACGCTGAGAGGTTTGTGCTACCAGTGACATCTTTCTAAAAACTTAAAACTTACCATGACGTTTCTTTGTTTAAAATGGTTCGACAGTTCCTTGCGGCCTAGAGTCACATTTTATCTCCTTGGCATGGCTCTCAGGACACATAACTTAGCTCCAACTTGGCCACTATTTGTTATGACTCCTTCTTGGCTCACTGCCCATCATCCCTGTCTTCATCACTCCCCACCCTGATCTCACCTCATTTCTTTCTCTTCCCCAAACGCACTGTACTCTTTCATATCTCCCTGACTCTGTTGAGGCTGATGCTGCTACTTGGATTGACTTTCCCATCTTCTCTCATGATCAAACGTCTACCTTCGATTTTCAAATGCAGCTCAAATATCACCTTTTCAGTGAATCCCTCCATCCCTTGCTGTGTCCTTATTATATATTCACGTGCCTAAGTCCATCTCAAAATTTCAAACTCCTGGAGGGCAAAAAGCCGCT